AAAAAAAAAAAAAAAAAAAAAAAAGGAAAGCCATACCTATTATACATACAATGTTATCCTCTTTTACACCAGAAGCTACCAATCGTCGTGCACTTACGCTTCAAACTATTCCACTTCTGTTCGGAGAGAAAGTTCTACACTCTATAGCACCAACAGTCTCCCATTCCCTTTAATTTCAAGCGTTCGCTACATCAATGAGTAATAATCGATTTCGAAGTTCGCCGACAGATGCACGCACGCAATATCACAAGCGCAAGCCCAACGACCTTGCAATCAATGCTACCCGGTTGTGGCAAACAGTCGTTTTCGAGCTGCCTACGAACATGCATACCCCCATACGAAACCACGCCGATCAACCGCGAAATCCAAACTACGAGAGGGATATCATTTACGTGACAAAGTTCCTGAAATGGATACTAAATTCCCTCGGAATATGGCCAGCCGTGTTGAAAGGAATCGACGAATTTCTCTCGAAAATCGCGATCGGCCTATATAATTTAATATTGTTTCTCTGTGTAATGCAATGTGTCCTACACATGGTGCTCGAACAAAAAGACCCTGTGATAAAATTGAAGATTCTAGGCTTGGTATGTTACTGTTTCATCTCTATGATGAAGTATTGGGCTCTCACAGCACGAAGAACGAAGATCGTGTACTGTATGGAACAGTTGTACGCTGATTGGAAACAGGTCAGTTCAGCAACAAGTTCATCTACTCTCGGAAGTCAGTGAAACCGTGGCGTATGGATTCCGGATATCTATGCATTCGTAGGACGTTTAAAAATACAAGCGGACACAAAAAAGTGAACACGAATAATGAAAAATCTATAAAGTATCCAAAAATGTAAATTTCTTAAAAATCACGAATCCGTGAATGATAAATGCCCGCAGTCTGGTGGTGGAAAAATTATTTTTATCATCCGACAGGTAGAATTCCAAAGGGATCGCGAGTTGATGCTGAAATACGGGAAAATTGGGAGAAAGCTGACCGTGTACAGTGTCGTGTTTATGTACAGCGGTGGCATGTGCTACGTCACTATCATGCAATACGCGTTTGGCTCGTACGTCGATGAATTTAATCGTACGATGAAACTGCTGGTATATCCAACGTACAGTGCTCTTTACGACGTTCAAAAAAGTCCCGCACACGAAATCATGTACGTCCTTCAATGCATATGCGAATATGTGTGCAACAGTGTTACAGCCGGAGCTTGCGGGCTGGCTGCACTTTTCGCAACGCACGCCTGCGGCC